CGGTCTCTGTTCCTCATCGTATCCGTTCCACCAGCGGAAATAGCAGAGGGCTTAAGTTTTTTTTTTTTTTTTTTGAATCAATTGTAATCTCAAGACTCGTGTAAACTGCTTCACTGTATATAATCTTTGAACAGCTATTTGACCTCCTACGTGTTTCTGTCCTTCCAGTCTCCGGTCTCTGTTCCTCATCGTATCCGTTCCACCAGCAGGAGCACCAGAGAAGGAAAGACCCTGTCTGAGATTAACTGTGAGTCCGCAGCTACAAAATTCTCCCCCTTTTTTTTAAGTCGGTCATCTCATTCTTTGTACATCTCCTATTTCTGTCTTGCTCGTTGACTCTTCCCAGTTGGACAGGTGAAGTTTGATCCCATTTTGCGAAAGGAGACAGAACCTCATCATGAGCCGGTGAGTAATTAGGCGTGGCATTGTAATTGTATGTGTGCAGGTGAGATTATGTTGGTGTGGTTGTAACTCCACCACCCAGGAACAGAAAGCACTCGACTAATTATTCATGTAGTCAGTGTGTCTTGAACCAGACCTGTTCACCCACATGTTTATTTTGATCCATAAAACGTTAGAATAAAAAGTCGAGTTTATGGAGCAGTTTTAAAGTGGTTTTACATCCCTGTCAGAACAAACCCTCACTGCAGATGTTTTACTCATTTGGTTAAAAATGGATAGATTTGGTGTTTAGAAAAAGAAAATCAAATATAATAAAGCTAACCTTAAAAAGGGCAGTGTTTTGATCACAGGGATCTTTTCCAGGAATCTGGGTCTTTTTTTTTTCTCTGCTTCCTCCTATTTGACTCCAGACCTAAACAGATTTCAGGGGGAGAGATTTAAGCCCCTAAAACCTGCTCATGTTGTTGGTTTGGGGTTTGTTTTCCTTATAGAACAGGGCTATTCAATTGGCGGCCCATGGGCCAGATGACTTAAATTCAGCTCACCAATAAGTTCTTTAAAAATAACATTTATTATATTATTTTAGTTAACTGAGCCACCTGAGCAGTTTGGATGAATAGTCCTGTTATAGAAAATAAATTTGAAAACTGACAGTTCGGTGGTTCGAACTGGCTTTGCATTGTGATTTTTATGAAAACAAACATTTTTACGTCTTTTGAGGGTTTATTTTTAAAGCTGCAAAAATATGTGGTTTTGAGTAGACCATAAAATGATAAGTTCAAACACATTAATGACATGTTCACCCTTCCCACTGCCTTCCACCTATTCAACTTTTTGATGCACTTTCTTCACTATTCTCTCTACTCTGGTTGGCTGAGAAAATCCACTTAAGTCAAAGAATACTTTGTGCTGTTTTAGCTATAAATTTAATCCACATTATCAGTCACTAGCTGCGTTTCCATTGACCATGAAAATGCGCAAATTAGAATTTTGAAAATAAATTTGCTCAATGGAAACACCTCAATTTAGAAAAAAATTACGTTTTTCAACAAAATGTTTTTGCACTAGGATGAGGTGGTTTTTCGGCCGTTTCGAAATTGATGTATTTCGCAAAACTGCAATGGAAACACATTTTTCGCATCACGGGAGTCACATGATCAATAACTGGCTGTTTCTAGTGGTGAAAAAGATGAAGAAGAAGATAACAGGAAGTAAAAGTAGTAGTGAAATCACCAAAGTAGTAAAAGAAAGTGCTAAACTCACCGACTACATTTTCCCAAAAATGCAGCATACGTAGCCGCTCCCAAGTATAAGGGGCTTGTCGCTTGAAAACCTTGATGGGACGCCGACGTCGCCTCTGACGGCTGACGATGAGCTCTAGTGTAGTGGTAGCAATATGCTATGTGTTTACATCCATTGCCGCCATGTTTGTAATGATTATCGTGAAAACAAAGAGTATTCACGCATGACTTTAATAGCATTTCTTACTTAATGGAAACACTGCAATTGCGAAACTGTGTTTTTTCGACATTAACAGAATATCGACAAAGTTTTGTGCACATTTTCAATGGAAACGCAGCTACTGTTGGGTAAAATACTTTGCTTCAGATTTCCCTCACTAATCAAAGGTAACTAAACGTGTAATTAGGGTTGGGCAATATTGGCAAAAAAATTAATCACGATTAATTGTGGTATTTAGCGCATAACGATTAATTTGACGATTAATCCCCTGGAATCCCTGGAGACCCTAATGACCAATTTAGTGGGAAAGATTTGCTCTTTGTAAAAAATTGTTCCAAATTGTGTGAAAATTACAGATTTCAGGCTATACATCATATTTTAAATTGTGTTGATAGATATATAAATTACAGAACTTTATTTTTAATGTTCATCTTATTTGAAGCGGGGAGGAGAACCAAGCGAAGTCTGTCTGGTGGCATTAATCGTATTAATTGTCTAGTGCCAAAAAGTAATCGATTAATGTTTTTCTGACGATTAATTGCACACGATACGATTATGCCCAACCCTACGTGTAATTTGGTTTTGTTTTAGCTTTCATCTCTGAGATTTATTCACTCAATGGAATTATTTATATAATTTAAAAATTAAAAAGCCCCTACCACTTTTGTATTTCAACACATTATTAATAATGCAATTTTCTTTAGGCAACATTACCAGATTATATCATTTTTGTTACTTTTTTTAAAAAGCATACCGTTATTATGATCCTCATAATATTGGACAAAAAGCTGAGCTTAATTGAGAAATGTGCTGCTGGTGTAAGATAGTTGCCTTTATCTGTATTTTACAACATGCTTCTGATACTTGTGTGGATTTTATTGATACCTCTTCTCCTTGGTTTTTCTTATTTTTACCTACCATCTTCACACATTCATTCCTGTCTCACCTTCTTGTCTTGACTTGATCTGTTTAGCCTGTTTTTGGTTTTAATACATTTTTCATCTATCATCCTCTTTCTTGGCCTTAAATATCTGTTCCTCCCCATTTCCTACGTTAGTCCAGGTTAATGTATTAACTGAGGTCTCTCTCGCTCTGTCTTGCTGACCAGTGTGATTCTGAGCCCTATCTGGACTGTGTTGAGGAACTCTACTATACCGCGAGATCTAATCTGGTAGTACTCCCTCTGTATCTGCCTCATCCGTCTATCCATATATTAGTCGCTTTCTCTTTGTTTTGTTTCTCCATCTCTTCTTGCTCTTTCTTGCGCTCCTTTAAAAAAGCCATTAAAAGATTTAGACCTTTTTGTTTTTCGAGCTGTTGTCTTGCTCAGTCTGACATAATTTTTGTAAATTCTCACAGCGTTGGTTCATGTTTTCTGATCTGTCTGTCCACCTTTTTTTCCCCCAACTTTTGCCTCACTAATTGCTGTTGTAGTTGTCCTTGTGAAAACATTGTTTTTTATGTTATCCAATGCGATGCACACTTTAACAAATGTGCAGAGGAAGGTTGGAGGTCAGATATAATGACTGGGCTGCAACCATACAGGTCAAAAATAGCACATGCATTCGATGTTTGAATGTTTGCTGTATTGTGTTGTTTGACATGTCTAATATTTTTGTTTACAGAATGATTTTTCCCTTCTGTTGCAATCGAAAAATAAAAATCATTTCTAACTTCTTATATGCTGTGCTTGACCATAGGCATTGAACCTTTGTGTTTCAGTGTTGCCTTTGAGAACACAAATCTTCTGTTGCATGCTTCTTGCCTTGTTTCTGTCTTGTAAAATGTTCCTGTGACACAACCATGAGGTTTTACATAATGAATCTCAAACCCAGTGTTTTTTCATATACCGTAAGTCAGAATGAAGCTAAATGTATAACCTCATCAGGATGGTTTAAAACAAACATGAAACTAAATTACAGATGATTCACAGCACCTACTTTGCTCACTGCAGTCATCAGCAAATTTGGCTAACCAGAGCTAAATAAAGCATTCCTGTTCATCAAAATGAGCAGTCTTCTTATGCCTTCAAAGCATGGAAAAACTGCTCATCACAGGAGTACTTTACAGTAATATAGAGCTGTAATACAGTAAAAAAAAAAAAAGTAATTTACATAGCAATATATAAAATCTTAACCTGCTTGTCCACATTTGACAAGTATCCTTTCAGATATAATGGAAGCTTTTTTAATCTGGTGTATTATTTCTTGTAAAAGGATTTGCATATTGTTAATGAAATAACTGATTGTTCTGAATTTAGCTGATTAATACAAAAAAAGGCTAAAATGTTTAATGATAGTTTGCTTTGTACCAGCAAATGTTTGCAAAAAATATATATACGAGAATGACTGCGCATATTTATATGTTGCCACCTTGGAATTATACTTTTTTTTGTTAATATATAAAAGAACGTTGAGTGAGGTGTTTATCTTTAAAATTGTACGGTCTTCTTCACTTTATAGTGTAGAAGATGGCAATGGCTCTTCGTACTGAGTTTTATTGGACATTATAGGTTTTTATAGGTTTAAAACGCTCTGTGAGAAACAACTGAACCTTCCAAATCTTTGGATGTTCTGAACCCCCTTCTGTGATGGCATGTCTGAAAAGCCTGAAAATCAGTGAACTAACATTTTCATCGGGCATAACATAAAAAATAACTTCTTATTTACTTACTTACCAGTTGAGTAAGATAAAATAAGAACTATTCTTTTAATAGGAAGCAAATATTATAAAAATGCAATGAAAAGCATTCAACAATTTTGCATGACTATAAATTATTGCTACTGTTTATATTTAGAAGATGTATGACTTCCTGAGTTCTTATCTTAATTTGCTGTTTTAAGATGTTCATACTGTGCATTAAACTTGGTGAAAGTAAAGTGTTTGCAATTTGGAAAGAGTTTCTTCAAAACTCTGAGCACAGTTATAAAACTTTATGATTCCAAGGTGGTAATTTGGTTCTTGCTGTAACTTCCAACAGGCTGCTGCAGCGAGAGTCTAAGAGATAATTTGGCTGTTAAGGAATTTGTAATTGGTATCATAAGTATTTTTTATGTCAGTCGGTAAACACAGTAAATGTGTAAACGAGCCTGATATAATATACAGTAAGAAAATACTAAAACAGTATTTGTCCTTTAGGATTTGCAGTTGGAGTATGGCCACAATTCATCAAATCTGCTGGGAGAAAACAAGTAAGTCTCACATTTTTTATTTCTTTTTTTGTTTATAGCTGTGCTTCTTTAATCCGCCATGGGCTGTCTTGTTTTTCTTGTTGGTTGAACAAGTCCAAAGAGTTTAACTAAAACTTAAAAATCAAAATGTTGTTTGAGTGCAGCTTTCTTGAAAACCATTTTAGAGCAGGATAGCAGAGCGGTTTTTATTATCTGAGTTTGTTCATCCACAGCAAATAGGTTTGAATTTGTATTCTTATTTGTTTTTTCCTTATTCATTGGATCACATTCTACATTTCATACCTTCCCATGTCTTCCATAAACAGGAGCCTTCTTAAATCTGTCGAGGAGGAGCTTCAGCAGAGGTAAGTCGAATCCTTCTTCTCATCTCCATCGGCCGACGTCCTGATCTGTTCTGTTTTAACTAGACTTACTCATCAGCCAATCATTTAACAGCAGCACTAATTGTGCCAATCACACACCACTAATGCTGCTGTAATGACTGCAGGTTGTCACGGCTTGCATCGTTTTAGGTTCTGCTGGTTTTGTTTGTTTTCTTTTTCTGCTGTGGCTTGCTCAACGCTTTGATGGAATCGGGAGAATGCTATAGTGCTTAGGAGCTTTTTACAAAGAGCATGGCTCACACACAAACACACACACATACATATTCCCTGTGCATTCACATACATGCACTGACAAGTGCGTGTAAAGATACAGCAAGTTTTTTACAATTATGCTGGCAAAACTAGAAAAATATGAATTTGCCCTGAAGATGATTATTATTTATGTGCTTTGTGATTTATGGCTTTTTTTTCTGTGACAGATGGCTACATTTTCAGTTGTTGCATTTTTTGTTTCTCTTTTTACCAGCTAAAGATTCAAAGAATGGCTCTGTCTGTGTTTTAGATTTTTATTTGTTCATTTGTTTTAAAGTTGTAATCTTCCTAGTTTGTATCTTATTTGTAAGGTACAGTTCTTGTTTATATTGTGCAGAATTGTCTTTAAGATGAATACAGTAATAATCTTAAAAAAGTCATTTTAGACTGAGGAAGTTTCAGTGCTGGTTCAGACTTAGTGTCTAGTTTTGAAACAGTTGTCAAAGTTAGTTTTTTGTGTTTTATCTTAAATGATGGATGATACAAACTGCACAAGACCCCAGTTTTGTCACCCCTCAGATTACATAACACTGTAGTGCTGTTTAGGTCCATGTTGGAAAAATCTCTACCACTCTTTTGTCAATATGAAAGAGTAATGGCAAGGAGAACAAAGGCCTTCTTTTATTGGCATACGATGCATTGTGTGTCCAAAAACTACTTAAGACTTTGGAATCTCTCAGTAAATGCTAATCTACTGGAATGTAGTCCCTCACGCGGGTCCTGGAACTGGAAGAACTCCAGGTCTGTGTTGCCTGCGGTTGTGTGTGTGTGTATGTGTGGTCCCTGAACTGGATATAAAAGGCCTTTAGTTCTTTTAAAATGAAACTTTGATTTAAAAACAAACTGTCCTTTGTCAGTCAAAATGTTAGTGTTCATATAATGAATATGTTGTTTACACCAAGTGTGGAATTTCTGTCATATTTAAATAGTTTTGCTTTGGTTTAATAAAGGTTTAAATTCAACTGGCAGCCCAGGGGCCAATTGGTGAGCTCAGTCCGGCCCGTCTTTGAGAGTTTAATGGAGTAGCTCTGGTTTAGAATCTAGGTGCAGCCTTTAAAAAACGGACAAAAATTAATTTTCTACTGTCATTATTACCTGTATAATATTCTCAGTACAATTTATATATTAAAACTGAGTATTGTGTGGCGTCTGATCTTCAATTGTTCAGTTGTTTTATAAGCGCATGAACAAAAAACATTCCGTACAAGACTACCAGAGTTGGACTGCACCTTCTGAAAATCACAAGATTTAAAAATAATTCTTCTAGTTGGTAAAATTTTGACCTAAACTGTGTGCAGCATCTGCGTTAAAGAGGACATATCATGCAAAATCCTTTTTTTTTTTTTTTTTTAGTTGTTACATTTTGTTTTGTATTTTGAGTCTCTGGGAGTGAAGAAGTTTAGTCTCTCCTTGTGCTGTGTAGATATCTTTTAGATTCTGTTTCGGTCATATTTTTCAACCTGTTCAATTTTCTCTATTTTATTATGTTTTCTAAACTATTACGTCAGAGTTTTTGTGATGGAACTTCTAAATAAGGTCTGGACTTACCAAATACAGTTTGGTGTTCTTCATTCTCCTCTGGCTCTGGGTCAGACTCTGGTTCCACCATGTAAGGCTGGATGGACAAGTCTTCTCTTTAGGGGTGCACCAAAAAATTGTTTTACATTAGAATCGTGATTCTCATTTACAAAGATTCAGAATTGATTTAAAATGTCCCAAAATCGGTTTTTATAAATAATAAAAATAAAGCAAATCATTTAAGCCTTTAAGGCCATCAGCCTCCATTTTGTAACTACATGGGACGTCCTGACGTCATCATGGAGCTGCTTCTGGAACATATGAATGTGCAGAAAGCACCAAAACAAAGAGGAAACGACAGAACTAGAGGAAAGAGAGATTAAATTGGCCCCATCTTTATTGAATGCAAAGATTTGGTCTCATTTTGTTTTTTACTGAACGAGGCTGAGTTTGACATGAGCGAGGTTTGCAAAATGAAGATGAAGCATTTGAGGAACGTGACAAATGGGCTCACATTATCAGTTTTGAATGAAAAATCAATTTTGAATCGTGGCCCCAAAAATCAGAATCTAATCGAATCGTGAGAGAGTAAAAGATTCTCACCCCTACTTCCCTTATTTACAACTTTTAATTAATTTGCAATTTAAAAAATTCTGTCCTTCCTAAACAGTCATAAACCCCTCAAACTAGAAAGGACGAGTCTGGAAGCTGGAGGGAGGCAGGGTTTGAAGCACCTTGTTTGGATTTAAAGAGACAGCCCCAAAATGAGTTAATCAGAAACGCACTTCAGAAAAGGGGTGAAAGAGGAGCTTGTGGAGTTACAATAAGGAGGAATTCAAACTAAAACACTGCAGTTCTACTTTATAAAGACCTAAACTGAATGATTTAAATGTGAAAAAAGGATATAAAAGCATGATATGTCTTATTTAAAAGAACAGCGTGTGCACTGCTGTATTGTGTTTCCAGCAGTAGTGACCAGAGCCAGTTTTAATAAATAGCCACATCTGCTAAAGATTTAGTAAATATGGGATTCAGTGCTGATTAAATTGTCGTGCTACTTTTATAAACCAAATATTTTTAAGGGTATTTTTTTAAAACTGGAATAAAAACCAGCTTAAGTTTTCGTTTCAAAAGAAAATATGGTTCTCTTTTGGGCCACAAAGGCCAATATTTATGAGTGTACAGAGTATAAATTGTAACAGGACTAGAATCTGCCCTGGGTTTAGATGTCGGGTAGTTTGTGAACCGAGCTTTACTCAGCTCTCCCTCCCCCTCCTCCTTCTGCCTCCATCCTCTTCCTCTCGTCACCTCCCATCATCTTTGCTCGTTCCTCTCTACCCCCACCTTTTTCCCCCCTCTTCCCACTGCTAAAACCTCGACTCCACTTTTCCTTTCTGTCCAACTCTCCTGCTGTCTTTCCCCTCCTCTCCCAGGGGCCATGTGGCACACTTAGGGGATGATGAGGATGAGGATGATGATGATGGTGCAGATGATGATGAAACACACACTCAGTAAGTTCCCTCTCAGTCTCAGAAGCTGGAAGCCTCTCCTTCCATGTCTCCACATCTATATTTTATTTTACTCGTGTGGCCCTCTCTCGTTTTCTACGGGGAAAAGATGAGGAGGAAACATGGAGGAAGGCTTTCTGTATTTACCTCAAGTTTCATCTGCGCAGCACACCAACCATCACGCCACATATGCCACCTGCGTTTGTGTGTGTTTTCCATGCTGTAACTGCTGCCTAATGTGAAGCTTTAAAGCTACTAACATCCTCCAAAAATGCTTTTTGGATTTGCCGTGTCCTGGATGACTGAGAATCTGTTTACGTCTCGTCTTTGTGCCTATCAGTTGTCATAGATGGCGATCTAAAGAAAAGGTTGCATCGTCCACTTGCTTTAGATCATAGAAAGGCCACAAATTACAGCCGTAACATTACATTTTAATAAAATGTAAGCTACTGTTTTATTTCTTGCATGTAGTAGCTTTAAGGTTTCACTCTGAATGACCAGATTAGTTTCATTGCTTCTATATCTGTTGCTTCTCGCATCGTCATCTTTTCTATTACTTTGGTCTCTTTCTGTTACCATCTGTGTTCTTCCTTGCTGTGTGTGTTGTCCTCTCCTGCCTTTTATTGGTAAATATAAATAAATAAAAATTACAATTACAATTTTAGGTTTGGCATCCCGCCACTTCTTATTGTGTAACACCCAGATTTCTGTATCAGGCCAAAATGTTTCTTGACAACACTTTCTTTTTGTCACAGTCAGTAAGGGAAGCTGTGCTTTTATGTTGTTGGATCCAATAGATATGAGCTTGTTGTTACAAAGCATGCAGTGTTTTGATTAATAAATAGGAAAATCAAGCCGTTTCCAGCTATTAACATGCTTAAAACAAGCTAATGTTGCAAGGACTAACATTTTGTTTGGGAGAACATAACAATTCAGTTAAATTAACGCACAAACACAACAGCTTTTTAGGTTTCTGCTAAATCTTAAACCAGTAGCAAACTTCCTTCTAAAAGTGGTGAAATACAAATATGTTTTCCATCGTGACTGCTTAACTGATATGGATTAGATCAGTATGGTGTTCTACAAACCTAACTTTATTTTTCCTATTTATCGTAATCACTTTTTGCACCTGTAGGTGTTTTGTTACCACGCACACACCGGGACCTTTATTCACTGTAATTGTATAAACTGTATTAGTACTAGATTGATGTTACTGATAAGGTTTATAATTTACATTTTATTGTCTTCTCACCACTCACATTTAAAACGTTTACCTGCTGTAAATGGAAACTGGGTCAGTTTTGGATTAGGGGAATTCACATGTTAAGTTTTGGTGCAGTGTAAGCTCATTTCTAGGAAATTAGTTTGAAAGTAACTGGACTTCCTGTTGAACTGAGAAAGTGTCAGTAAAAAGTAAAACGTCCTTAAGAATTAAAGAAATGAGTTGTCTTTGAATTAATTAGTTAGGATTACCATATCCAGGAGTCCAGAAGCTACACATGTATACGGTACATGTGTAGCTTTAATTTGTGTTTGTTACCTGCCATTCAACTGCATCAATGTGACATAAGTTGTTTTCACACATGTACTAAAGATCTGAACTCTCACAGAGGGATGGTACAGGAGATTACGTGTCTGCGTAGCATTTGATCTGGTTTATTGCACTCTGTTTCTAATAAGTGTGCTGAGTGATAGAGGAGCCTCATTTACCTTTCTTGACTTGCTGAAAGGAAACTTTCCTCACTGCACCTTCCTGCACCACTTCTAATAATTATGTGGGGAAAAAAAACACAAAACCTCTATCTCTAGCAGAAAATTTAACAGTATCGACTGAAAAGTTCAGGACAAAACTGTCAGTAGCTCTAAACATCTCTACAGATCACGTGTGAAAACGATTTTTTTTTCCCTTTGGTGTCTTTGTATTTGTTTGGATCTTTGGTCACTCCAACCCATTGCTCATTCTGATTTCCATCCTTCTATTTCATCTGATTCACGTAGCTCAGTTAATCAGAAATTTAATCTGTCACAGAATACGTTATTATGAATACAGCACTGGTCAGCAGTCAAACATGAGTTTTGGCTCGGTGATTAAAAAAAATTTAAACTCTTATTTCAAATTACAGATCAAAGAAAACTCATTCTGGATAAGAAAAATAAAATATTGGCTGTTAGTACTTTTAATGTTTGTTCTTATATGTAGCACAAACTTCTATTTACTGTACTATCAGTAAGTTAAATGGATTAACATCCTCAGAGCCTTTACATTTTATAGTATCTTGTTTAAAAATGTAATGTCTCCACCTCATAATGTAGTTATTTTTTCAAGTCATCCCTAAAGTCTCTGTATGAAATATTGTCAGGTTTTGGTTTTACCTGCTCTTTAATGGTTTGGTTTCACTGTTTGTCTCTCTTGGGTGCATGTAAATTATTACAAATTATGTTGAAATACTTAAGTGTATATTTCCCCAGAATAAAATGGCAAACAAAGTGTCTAATATTATGAAGGTGTCCTTTTGGAGCAATGCTGGAAATCCCTTTAATGGCTGATAAAACCAAAGCCCCAGTTATAACATGTTAAAGTGTTTGTTTTTAATCAGATATTTGTGTCTCAAGTATTGAAACTTCTCACTCTTTAGTAAATCCAGCACTATAAAGAGGCCAAAGGACCCACCTCCACTCCCGCCTAAGGTAGGAACAACTCACTTTTTTGTTTTTGCAGTAACTTTTTTAAACTTTTGAGTATTTTTCTCAAAAAAAATGAATAAATAAATTTGTCTGGTCTGAATTGTCCTCCAGCCGAAGTCCATCTCTTCGTCCAAACAGCAACCACCACCTAAACAAGAAGACGCTCAGTCCCACCACGAGGACGACAGCGGGGGAGGCACCATCAAACGCTGCCCGGTCCCGGGGACGCCAAGTCCCGCCAAGCCCGCCACCAACGTCCCCCCAAGGCCTCCGCCCCCGAAGCTGCCGCCCCACCGCCGCAGCAGCCTAGGTAACGACAGCCCGAAGCACAAAGATGCGGAAAACTCCGCTCCAGAGGATGATGATGGGAGCTTTAGACATTTCTGGGAGTGGCTCCACACGCCTCACACAGAGAAGGAGCTGGAGGAGGCGTGGGAGGTGCTGAAGGAGGTGAAAGAGGAGCAGGAACAGGATGAGAGTAAGAGCAGCTGATTGGTAGCTGGGTAGTGTCCGCAGACCCTGTCGTCCCCTTCAGCTGTGTGGTCCCCCATTAAGTCAGTCTTTCTAGACTAATTGATTTATTTGTTCCATGAATCCATTAACAACAACGCTTTTTAAATTTTTTTCTTTTTTCTTTTTGTTCCCTCTGTTTATCAGCTCTCGTTCAGTATGTTCATCTCTTCTAAATTATAAATGTTTACATTTTTAATCCAATCAATACGAAACTGCTAACACCTTTCCCCTATTTTATAGGAGGCAGAAGGAATATGAGAAAACATTCTGGTCCTTCCAGAACTCAAATACAACCATAGTGCTTAAAAATTTACATTTCATGCAGTGAAAATTAATGATACAGCGGGTAAAATTGAACACGTCACCATTTTTTTCAGTAAATATATTACTAGAGGTGCTAATGACATGAAATTTTCACCAGATGTTGGTAACAACCCAAGTGATCCATACATACAAAGAAATCAAACCATAAATRTCCAGAAATGAAGTTATTTGTAATAATGTGGAATGGCACAGGGAAAAAGTATTGAACACACTTACTGAAATTTATCTAATACTTTGTACAAAAGCCTTTGTTGTCAATGACAGCTTCAAGACTCCTCCTGTATGGAGAAACTAGTGGCATGCATTGCTCAGGTGTGATTTTGGCCCATTCTTCCACAAACAGTCTTCAAATCTTGAAGGTTTCGTGGACCTTTTGGACCTCTGTATGTAGTAAAAATATTGATAAGGTTCTTGATCCTCCAAGAAAATTGATATATATATATAGTGTAAATATAGGCTTGTTGCGAAAAGCAATAAATCAATTAATCGCAGGATAAATTAAAATGAGTTTGATAATTTTTATGTACCTGCTTATTTGTTTTCTTCGTGTTGCCCTCTTTTCTACTTGTTAGCGTAGGGAGAAGTGAACTCTCATGTCAGGTATTTGCCGGGTTCATGATCTTGTAACGTCTGTAGCATGAGAGCCTCGTGAACAGCCATTTAGCTACAGGAGTGCCATTGAGTGCCCGCACCGCAGCAAGCTTCCTTTACGTTATTATCGTTTATCGTGATCATTTCTGAAGCAATTTATAGTCTAGCAAAATATATTACCATGACAGGCCTAAGTATTATTTTACAACCATACATAATGTGTATTCAAAGATCGAAATGATCGTCAACAGCATCGGAAACACTGGAATAGACTGGAGCAGCTTGTGTGTGTGTGGCATAAAAGGACGTTGAACCAGGATCCTCTGTTGCCAGAATAAAGTGACTCTTCCTTGTATGTTACTTGTTTTAGCCTCTAAATGTGTATCAAATATTTGAAGCTATTTTTAAATTTGTGAGAGAAAAAATACGATATTTCATGTTTTTCCTCATTAGGGATTTCTTGCTTTTTTGCTTCTTTTATGAATTGGCTCTATCAGATCGGTCAAGGTCAGTGAGTAATGCTGCCTAAAGAAATAGTTTCTTGTCTCAGACACTTTGGCAGCTGAGCAGCAGTGTGGGTTTCTATTTTACTACAGACCGGATGCAGGAACTCAAGTTTGTTTGTTTGTTTGTTTTTTTCTAAATTCACTTGTCAGTGCTGGTTAGGATAAATACCTGATAATTCCAGCCACTTGTTGATTGCTTTCCCCGATGGTCTTGAAACAGGTAAATTAATGAAAATTTGTAGTATAAATTAATGTTGGGATTTTTCGTTTAAAATGTCAGCAGGCATCATGTTGCATCATGTTTTTGCTCTACCAGTTATTGTTAAAAAGAAAACCAGCTGCAGAGAGGAGATTAGTGTAATAAATGGACATTAACTCATATTCTGGAGGATATACATATTGAAATAATTTTAAATACCTCCCAAACATTCAGACATAATGAACATAAAAATAGAAAAGGATTATTTTTAGAGGTGTGTTTTGGTCTGAGCAGCTCATACTTTCAACTTAACAATCTCTTTTCATAGGAAAACAAACAAACGATGCGAATTTCAGTCCAAATTTCGACATTTCCTCACATGATTTACTCATCTGCATAGAGCTGCCAACACTTGAGCCACGCCCGCTCAGGAGATCAGAAGTCTTGGTGTTTTCATGCCATCGATGCAGCTTGTAATGTGTCGTCTTGTTTGTGTAGAGGTTGTTTTGTTGACCGGTGTCTAGCAGACTCGCACCCTCCATTGCTCATGACCGTATTTGATCCTCTGTATTCTTCCTGCTATCCTGCTTCCTCCCTGCTCCCAAGACTTTGTGTTTGCTCTGTAACTCTGTCTTTTATCTGTAAAAGGCTCAAATGTTCTAATTATAACCAACACTGATTTTTAATACACATTTGCGCTTTGTCCTTTACCCTCCCACTCAGTCTCAGTAAAACGTGGTCTTGTTGTTGTTGTAGGTAATGGGCTCAACTCTCCCCACAATGGTGAGGGGGAAAGTCCAGGAGAGAGACAGTCCACCATGCCCCCTAGTGTCCCCACGCGGAAAGAGAAGAAGGACGTTCCGGTAAGGAAGTGGCAGTGAATCGTCACAGATCTGAGACCAAACCAGAGATTTTGATCCGACTTTAGATGTTTTCATTGAGAAATCTCACTTCTTACTTCATCTAGAAGACCTGCCAGAAAATAAACATCACCTAAAATGAATGGATGATTGCTTACTGGCTTGTTTGTGTTATATTAATGACTTTATAATCTCCGTTTTAGAAACCTATCAGTAATGGTCTCCCACCAACACCCAAAGTCCATGTAAGTATCAGCCTCCTGTCCTGAAATGTGGGGGGGGGGGAAATGCAGTTAATACAGTTCTGAGTTTTGTGGGAAAAACTATTTTTTAGTGTTTATTTCAAACCATCAGTTTCTTATAACTTGAGTAAATGAAATGAATTAGAATCTGAAAGGATTTGCTACTTGAAAACAGGGCAACATACAAAAAACTGCAAGAACAAGTTTTTTTGAATAGAGCTGTATGAAACAGTGTGTTAAACCCCAGAGTAAGTTAATCCTCTGTACTATTCCTTGATTTGTCCTGTGTACAGATGGGTGCGTGTTTCTCCAAGGTTTTCAATGGCTGTCCACTGAAGATCCACTGTGCCACTTCATGGATCAACCCTGACACCAGAGGTAACCCAACAGAGGAACAAGCAGAACTCCAGCCTGTCTTTTTAAAGGGGACAAATCGTGCAAATTCTTCTCGTTTTAGTCATTAGGAGTTCAGAAAGTTGGATGCAGTCTCTACCAGTGCTTCATAGATATTTTTATATTCTGTTTGGATCATAAGTTTCAACCCGTTTAGTGTTTTCTGTTATGTTTTCTGAACTATTACATCAAGTTATTTGCGACAGAATAAGGTGTGAACTTACCAAAGACTATTATGTCCACTTCGTTCTCCTCCTGCTCTGGATCAGTCTCTGGCTCCAACATGTACGGCTGGATGAACAAGTCTTCCATTGTTCCCTATTAAGCTTGAATGAACGGGCCTAGAAGCTGGAGGGGGGCAGGATGAAGCACCTCGTTTGGGTTTAAAGAGACAGTGTCAAAACGAGTTGATCTGAGATGCACCTCAGAAAAGGGGAGCGAGGGGCTGGTACAGTTAAAAATAATGAGGAATCCAGACCAAAGCATTGCAGTTCCACTATATATATATATATATATATATAACTGAATGATTAAATGTGAAAAAGGATTTTAAAACATGCTGTCTCATTTAAATGAAGTTACATGGCTGTTGAATATCAGCTGCTGTGTTCTCCTAAGTAAATGTGAAATACCTGTTTGTTTCAGATCAGTATTTAATATTTGGAGCTGAAGAAGGAATCTATACATTAAACCTTAATGAGCTTCATGAAACAACAATGGAACAGGTGAGGTTCAAGAGCATCTCGTTAGACATAACTGTTTACTTTTGCTTGTTGTTTCAGTTCTGCATTGTTATTTATGTGGGGGCTGATGGCACTTTGCTTTAAAAAAATACTAATACATTTTTAAAAAAGTACATGAAAACTGTGGCTACTTTGACCACATGCATTATTGTTGCTGAAAATTTATAGTCTGTGTCTGCCTGCAGCTTTTCCCTCGGAGGTGTACATGGCTTTACGTCATGAACAACTGTCTTCTTTCTATATCTGGTGAGTTAAAACACTCGTGTGTTCAAACGAAACTAATGATTGTTCTGCAGTTTTTAACTTGGAATTTAACTGGACAGTTTTAAGTTTTATTCTCAACAGTGTGTGACATCTGTTTTTTTTTCCTCTTGGTAAATTAAACAGGAAAAGCCTCTCAGCTATACTCCCACAGTTTGAGCGGTCTTTTTGAACAGGCCAGACAGTTACAGAAGTTACCAGTAGCCATTCCCACACACAAGCTGCCTGATAAGATCATTCCAAGGTAACAAATTTACTTTGTTTTTGGTTGTTTGATAAGTTAACCTATAAAAGTTCACATAGATTTGCTATTCTTGTCGTATGTCACTCACTACATTTCTTTATACATCGCATTGTGTTTTTTATGTCTGGGTTTAGGAAGTTTTCTGTGTCCAATAAGATTCCAGACACTAAAGGGTGCCAAAAGTGCTGCGTTGGTGAGTTTTGTTTTGTTTTTGCACCAGTTATTTCATGTCTTAGTTAAACTAATAACTGATTTCAAATTTATAATATAGTTTTCAACATTTTCCATTAAATATTTCAGCTTTTTTCAGGATATATAGAGTAAAATAAAAGCCTAAAAGAACCACTAATAAGTTTTTACCACAGTCACTAAAACTGTGTTGTTTCCTGGCAGTCCGTAACCCGTACACAGGCCATAAATACCTGTGTGGAGCCTTCCAGTCTAGTGTCATGCTGTTGGAGTGGGTGGAGTCCATGCAAAAGTTTATGCTCATTAAGGTCAGTTCTGTTCTCCTTACAAGTCCTCATTTTTGTGCATCTGCTGCATTTTGGCTCCATCTAATTTCGTGCTTTAAAACAGGTGACAGTATTGAAGTAAACTTGTTAAAAAATATGATGGTTAAATAAAAAAATCTTATTCTCTGCAGCATCGAGGTAGAGGACCACACCAAAAAAATGTGGAAGTCTCCTCTAATGTTTCTTCTCGTTTTCCCTACAGTCCATCGATTTCCCATTGCCATGTCCGTTGGAGGTCTTTGAGATGTTGGTGGTCCCGGAGCACACCTACCCTCTAATCTGCGTAGCAGTCAGCAAAGGAACCGAGCTCAACCAAGTGGTCCGATTCTGCACCGTCAACCCCAACGCTACCTCCTCCTGGTTCACAGAGTCAGGTTAGAGCAGAGCTTCAAAGGAACACTTTGATGTTGCAGATTTCTCTGGGTTCATTAAGAAGGCCTAATTACAACTTACTGCCCCGCCTCCACAGACACACCACAGACGTGTGTGATCCACGTCACTCAGCTGGAAAGAGACACCATCTTAGTCTGCCTCGACAGTGAGACGCTCATGTTTACTCCCTTCAGACGTCTTAGTTGTGCTCCTTATATTTCTGCACCTCTCAGCTTCTGCCTCTTGTTGATTATCTTTGTTTTGCAGGATGTATAAAGATAGTGAACCTCCAGGGACGACTGAAATCCAGCAGGAAGTTATCGGCCGAGCTCACCTTCAACTTTCAGATTGAATCTATAGGTAAGAAAGCTCAAACCGAAAAAAATAGTTTAGCTTTTATGTTTACATCTGAAACCAAGAGAGTCAAAATTACACCTTATAATGAAGCAACTTTTGTATATTTTCTTGGTAAAAGCTCATTTGTTGAACATAAAGACGCAGTAATCAGCAGTGTCCTTTTTTTGTTTGCTTGTTTGTTTTACAGTTTGTCTCCAGGACAGTGTGCTGGCCTTCTGGAGGCACGGCATGCAGGGGCGGAGTTTTAAAACCAATGAGGTAAGATCACTCGTGGGTGAGTGGGTATAAAGCATTCAGAAATAAAGGAATAAACTAAAGAAGCAGCTTAAAAACAGGAAATCAAGACAACCAAAGATGAATATGATCAAAGAGGCCAATTTAAAACAGGTGCACTTTTCAGGGAAAATCATTTTTATTGGTGGCAAAAAACTGATCCCCATGGTGATCAGACAGACAGTGAGGAACAGGAAGATGATTGGAAGATGAAGACCTAAAACCCAGTTTACACTAACGTTTCAGTTCTCCCGGAATCATTCGTATTTTAAAAATTGATGCCTAGTTTTGATACCCAGTCCGCCAACTGGAAGAAGAAGCCACCCAACACCAGTGAAGAAAAACACCCAGGTGAGCTGCTGAACACCACTTAGAGTTGGAGTTTGAACTCAAACTGTCCAATTAAGTGAAATAACCTGCCAGTGCAGTAAGACCATCGCACTTAGGCCAAACCAAAACAAGATGAAAAATACTCTGGCTGGATATAAGTGTACGATTTGGTTAGATGGACAAGTTTTGCAGAGAAAATTCATAACATCTATTCATCTAAAACAAACTCTGGTTAGCTACCTCATTTAAACCATGTAATTTTTTTGACCCTGCCTCTAAAAAGAATCAAAATTGGGAATTACTGGGAACCGAGATCGTTCAAATTCAAACTAACCCTACTCTTAACCTGAGGGGAGAGGAGGACTATTGATTTATTAATGGTAGCAAATAAATAAATTGTCGATCTTAGCTCAAGTGTTTTTAATGCCATTGAGGAGCAGCTCAGTTTTATCACTGTTGGATCAACAGTTGTTCTTTATTGTTACAACTGTCTCTCTTCTTCCTCAGATCACTCAAGAAATCTCTGACAACACGCGCAACTTCAGACTACTGGGATCAGACAGGTGAGAAGCATCCCGACTCATGAGCTGTTTTCACCCATGAATGTCATGTATGTGTAGCGAAACACCTAGGGCTGCAACTAACGATTATTTTAAGAATCGATTAATCTGTCGATTATTTTTTCGATTAATCGATTAATTGGCCAAATCATTAATTACATGAATATGAGTAGATATAAATTAATTTCATTCCTGTATAAATTAAGAATGCAAGTTATTGATTAATGAATTAAGCTGAAGTTGATTTATCTTATACACTAACAATTAATTGATAAGCAGCCATTTTCTTAAAAACTGGAGTTTTCTCTTGAATCAAGAGGGTCTTTCCATAAAATGAAGGATTTTTTTATAATCTCCTGAATTAAAAAACAGAAGCACATCATAACTATTTTAACAACTTATTTTTCCAGTTGTATTAAATACGGACTGAAAAAAATGTGTATTTCTCATGAAACGTAACAGAAACTTAATAGGTTGCTGAATGAGGAAAATAGATTAAAAGAATAAAATATGATTTTTAGATGTAAAACTATTATTAATTTATTATAATAAGAATTTATTTACATTTAACATTTATAATTTTTCTCTAATTCTTTGCTTTTTGCTTCATTCTTGTTGGTTCTGTCTGACTAAAACGTTCTAATCTGACCCATTAAGCGGTTCTGAAGCAGCCCCCCTCCTCCCCCTTTCCCCTACTGAGGCAGACCTGGCTGCTGCTCTATCGGGTCTTTATTTATTTTATTCCTTTGTCCTGAACCTTTTTGCTGCTCAACAAATAACTTTGGGCCTAGGGTTGGGTACCGAAACTCGGTTCCAGTATGGCACCGGGGCGAATATCCACGGTAGTACACAGACTGAAACACATCTCTAACTTCGGTTCTTTATTTCGGTGCCTCAAAGAAAGCTGTTAATTTGCGCCCTCTGGTGTTCACTGTTAATAGTGACAGCCGCGGCGCACAATCTCCACGGACTCTTCCTGTACGTGGCTCGACTCGGTGTCGGCCCAATGCATCTCCAAGTGCGCTCCACAGCCGCGCTGTCTCAGAACTTCCTCTCCGGTGGTTCGGGTAGAAGCGAGCACAGCATGCTTATGATTTTAACGTCAACAGAATTTTGCCCGTGGATTAACTGACAGCAAATTTCCTCCTGGAGAGAGCTGCTTTTGTTTAGGAACACGAGCGCGTGGCGCGATACGAGTCGACAACATGGTGAAATAAAACTGCCGTTTTGAAAAAGGCAGAACTTGTAAACACTTCCTGGAGAGAAGTGAAGGAGACGAAGCTGAGCAGATCACAGGAAGTTTCCAACAAACTGACCGCCCACGGTTACACAAGCACTTAGCTAAACAGCACCGTGATAATAAATGAATGAATGAATGAATGAATGAATGAATGAAGTTCGAACGGTTAGACCACAAAGGCTTTTTAAAATTTAATTTTATTATTATTATTTTTAAAACAAAAGCTGAAGTCACTGCAGACAGTCTGCACATTATCACACCCACAGAGTGAGGGACACACTGCGTGGAGACACACGAACACTGAGCAGTACCGACCCGACCCAAAGTGAATCGAGTAGATCCTAGTTCATGGAGTGGGGCTAACAGGTGCCACTGCAGCTAACAGTTATATATTATATATTATAGTCAAAATGATGAAAGAAAAACAGTCCGAAGTGTGGTGTCACTTTACAAAATAAGAAGCAGAAACTTCCACCTACAACAAATGCTTTAAGAATATTTGGTGCAAAGACAAATTATTAATCATTTTAAGTTGATAAGTTGGTCAATTTCAAGTTTGACTTTGCCTCAGAAATAGTCATTGCTTCATAAACCTCTGTGAGAGTGCGTATGTTTTTTTTTTTTTTTTAAAGTACCGATTTAAATACCGTTTAGGAACTGGTACAGTTTTGGAGGTATAAATTTAGCACCAGTATCGAAATAAACCCTTTCAATAACCAACCCTATTTGGGCCTCATTCAGAAAAACCTAGAGGGTTTTTATACTTTTGACCCGAGAGGACGACGAAACAAATGCTGGATTTAGGTGCCCCCCACCCCCCACCCCCCCGCACGCGTTTCCTCCTTGCGACGTGGCTCGCATCAAATCAGACCGTCTTATAAAAAAAATTAAACGTGGTATATACTTTTTATCATATCTTTGGATCTACTTGGCCTAACAACACAAATTAAAAACTGGTTTAAAGTTCGACGTCTCTACTTTTCACTCGAGAGTCAGAGAGGGCGGATCTTTACAGGTAGTTTTTTTTTCCTTAATAAACTTTATGTAGGTCAGCCAGCATTGACAACGCTCTGCGGGTGACGTAAACGGCTCCGCGACACGGCGAGGGACTCATAAATTGCGCAACACAACGAATCGATAATGAAATTCGTTGCCAATGCTTTTGATAGTCGATTTTATCGATTCGTTGTTGCAGCCCTACATTTGACCCTGACGCTTCCTGCTGCTCACACACACATTTCACAGCGGGAGGTGGGCTCTCACAGCTGGAAATAATAGAAGTGTGCAAAAGTTTGAAAATGTCTGTTTTCATCACAACTTGTTGAAAAGAACTGTTAGTGTTTGTGTGTCACGTTTAGATGAATGTCTTCATAACGACACAGAGGTCAGCAAACAGGAGAAGGGTCAGATTTGTCACATTCACACAGTCACATCGTCTCACTTGTTAATTTTATGAAGATTTTATGTTGGGTATAACGTATGGGACCAGTCCCGTAGATGTCGATTTCCCAACATGCCACGAGAACATTTTCGAGCAAATGTGAAAGCAGCCGCTAACATGAGCCCCAGCCAGGCCCAACACAGTCTGTTAACATGCTCTCTGATGTGTCATCACTAAAGACGGGCCGATCGTAGACATCCAGAGGCTGGAGACAGGAGCCTCTCTCTGCTCAGGTACAGCTACTGTTCCCAGGCCGCAGGCAGCCTGAAAACCTCGCCTCTTTCTGTTGGGATTCTTCAAAACTGCTTCTAAATTTACTGGATTGTGTTGGTGTCTGTCGTCTCATTGAAATGAAGACTCGAACTCTAGTTTTCTTCGGTGTGAACAGAGTTTTCTCTGTACTGCCTTTTATTTGTTTACAAAGAACGGGTTTAACAAGCTTTAATCAGAACCTTTGTGGCTTCCTGGTTGGAGATGGATACTTCTTGAATAAATGTTGGGTCTTTATTTTTCTTGATTCTTTATTTAATTTTATGGTATTTAACCAATACTTTTTTTTTAAACTTGGGTGGGTTGCTGTTTTTTTTTTTAAGTAAACTGAATATTTATGTGTTTTTCTTTTTGCCTGTGCGTGTTCGCAGGGTGGTGGTGCTGGAGAGCCGGCCGATAGACAACCCTACGGCCCACAGCAACCTCTACATCCTGGCGGGACACGAGAACAGCTACTGAACCCCCCACACACGTGCACGTTACCACCGAAACACCCCATGGCCATTGCGGACGAGGAAGTACCGAGCTGGTGGGCGCGTTTCCTCCCAGCCCTGCGCATTTCCCTCGGCCCGGCTTTCACCTCCTCCACCGAACCTGACGGCTTCCTCGCTGGGAAACGAGTGTTCGGATCCGGATTTGGATCCACGATTTGCATCTCTTTTAAACCCCACCTGGGTGTGAGCCGGTAAGGTGTGTCCTGGCAGGACTGTGGAGATTTAGATCGGTTTGTGACAAAGCCTAGGTCTAAGTTGAAACAGTAGGTTGTGAAGATTTCAGTGTCTTCTCCGAGACACAGATTCTCCCCGAAAACCATCCTCTGCTGATCGAACTTGGGGTTAAAAACAACAACAACATCCAGCACGCCGATCCAGTCAACACTATACTAATTCTACACTTAGTACTACTGCTACTTGTGCTGAAGCCTCACAGAAGGGCCTCTCGTCTCCTGTCTTTTTTTCCTTTAACCTTCCCTTTATTTATTGTGGCATGATGTAACTTTAATAACCGGGATGGCTGTTAAGATTTGTTGTTGTTTATTTCTCTAAAAAGAACAAAAAAAGAAAAAAAAGGACTAACAATTGTTGCCACTTTCTTTACCGTCAAGTTCTAGTACCCATCACTACACCACACAAGTGCTTAATCGACCTCTATTTAATTTTTGTAAATAGAACTGTTTTTTTTGTTTTTAAATAGAGACAAACACTAAGAGGCTGGTTGTGTAGATACGTGTGGGAATATTTACTCTGTAAAGCCGTGGAGACAAATAGAGAACAAGCGGGCGTGGACGAGTCCTCTCAGAACGATCCCGGTCAGCTTCATCCTGCATGGACCGCCATCTTTCACATCCGGCTCGTTTTGCAGCACAGCAACCGTCAACAGACCGGTGGAGTTCTTTCTTTTTTTTAATCCTCCTCTTCTGTTTATTTTGTGTCCTTTTAAAATCAAAACTGTGTCCTTTAGTGCTTTTCTTTTATTTGTATTGAACCACTGGTGTTTAAAAGTTTGCACAGAGAGAAATGTATTTCATAAACAAATGTGATGTCATTGTAATGTATGAGCTTGAGTGTGTGTGCGGAGTCTGACTGTAGGTGTGTGTGTGTGTGTGTTTGTGTGTGTGAGCATGTAGACGTGGAGTGCACACATGCAAGTGTACAGATCTGGTCTTTACCTGGCTGAGGCTACTTTAAAGGACCAACAACGGATACGGAAAGCAAGAACGCTAGCTAGATTTACACAGAAATAATCAAGATTATTAGTTTGCCTATAGCTGTATATCCAAACGGTAATTTTAAGTAAACAAAATAGAGACGAGAAGTTTTGTTTCATCAAACGAAAAGCTGTTTTATGATTATTTTTGCTAAGAAAGAATAAAAAATATGCTATAAATTGCTTTAAAGTACTGCAATAGCAGACTTCTGTTCGACTCGTTACACAATGTTTTTTTTACTTATTTTTCGCACATCTTATTTTCTTGTTGACCGTTTTTTATCTAGTTTAGAAGCTGACTTAGAAGAAAAGAGACACCCCCCACAAAACAAAAAAATGTCTAACTGTAGCTTTTGTGATGCATTATTTCTGTGTAAGTCCCAGTGCTCGATATGACTTGTTTAGGTAGCAACTGGAGAAGTTTGCAACTTCAGCCTGCTTTGCTGCGACTGTTTTTTTAAAGACTGAAACCTGTTAATAGAGCTCAAACTATCTGCATGTACAGTATATCAACACCAGGAGGGTCTGTGCGGCGTTACACTACCCGTCTTCACAAGCTGCGGCTCTACAAGTTGCTTCTGAGGACTTTAATGTTCGTTTAGCTTAGACACCCTCAACACTGAAAAACAAATCCTCCAGACTGGAAATGTTTGTTTGTTTTTAACTGTCTCAGTTTCTAAACGTGTATGCTGTCATCTCGTTCGTACACGTTTAAACCGAAGAACAGGACGCGGATCAGATGAATATTTACACATTTCCTGCTGGTCGACAAGCTTCTAGGAACTTTAGCGCCACCTGTTGATGTGTTGGTCAGCTTCATTTTTAATTGCAGCATCATTCCCTCATAGCTGATAAAATCAGTGGTTACAGCTTTCAGAACGAGGGTTTTAAACTGACATTACCTGTACTGGAGCTGTCAGTGTTAAAAATACACAATTAACACCCTGGAAGCATTTTTTTTCTTTTTTATGTTAATGTTGGGGGATAAAAACTGAATTGAGCAAGTCTGCCCCCACAACGTCCTCTGCACAGTTTCTAGTTTTTTTTATTTCTTAAAAGGACTCTGTTCTCTCCCACCACTGAGTTTAAGAAAACAGTCTAGTCAGATGCACAGTTAGAGCACCAAATGCCCCATTTATTCTCCTTCAACCCTCTTTTATTAACATTAATTTAGCTTTTTGACCTGAAAATACAAAAGAGAGATGACCCCACCCATAAAAACATAATTTTATACAGTTTATTTTAAGTTAAAATGTTTTCAAATGTTCATAATTTTTATGTTTAAAAAAAACAGCTTTGATTTTTCTTTTTTTTTTTTAATTCTAAAACATTTTATGGTCATATTTAGATGGTCTACCTCGAGGTTTATCTCAGATATGAGGGGAAATGTTCCCTAAAAACACATTCAGTTAAAATGCAGTATGTTCTCTAAACTAGATGTTTCTGTTCTTTTCAGTTAGAAAGTTACTCAAATAGATCATGACACTACAAAACTCTGTGAGATATTTCCTCCTGAACTGATTTCTATATTCTCTGTAAATCAAAAAATATTCTCGCAGTTCGTTTCATTTCGTGGGTCATTTTTGTTTCTCGGATGAAGAAAATCTATTTAAGTTGTCACAGATTTCACGTTCTTTTTTAAATTTTTTAAAAAATAATTTAATTCCGTTTATTTCCAAAATTCTGTCATCTTATCCTTTTAAAAGCAGGAAGCAGGTACCGACATGTCACAGCTTTTTCAAATCACATTTCTCCGTGAAATCACCGTAACTTGGGTCAAATATTGCATAGAATAAGTCACTTTTTGGATGTTTCAGATATGTTTCCTGTATGAATGATCATCTTATTCACATAAAGAACATTGTTTTGGGATTTCTTGTTGGAAGTGTCACCTGTTTTGTCCTTTCTGCAGATCAGTGTTAATTTAATTGTTTATTTTTCCCAGAAGCTGTTTGAGCCAAGTCTCCTCCTGATCTTGAGCAAAACGCAGCAGAGGTTGTCTGTTCTGTCACCATTACATCCACTCTTTTTTTATTATTGTTCTGTTTTCATGATGCAATTCTAAAATGTAAATAGTGTAAAATAAAATGGGTTTGTTTTACATACTGTATAATTGCCTATATTTTGTTTCAGAAGTGTAACAGATTTATGAGATGACAGGTTAACACATTAAAAGGATGAAACTGAAGCGCTTGGTGTTTATTTAAATTCCTGTGTGTGTTTGTGTGTACGTATGTGTGAACGTATATATATATATATATATATATATAACTGAATGAT